ATGAAGCACTGTGCAAACACTAGAGGCAATATCGACACTGACTCCAGAAATAATTCCAGTGAATGGACTTTAAGTGGTGGAAAGCAGAATAAGGCTCCAGTATGTACTGGAGTACACACTGGAGTACATACTAGTAGACTTTTTAATGAGTAAGAGGCATTAGCAGAGAGTAACTCTCCCTATTGCTTCATGACAGGATAATGTGCTAGAGCTGCTTCTCTCTCCATGAACTACAAGAATGAGTCTAGGTATGAGATTCAAACTACATATCTAAATCCAAGTGTAAATAGATTTCCACTGTACTATAGAATTACCTTTATGTCACGAAGACTTGTTTGGTTTCTAGCCAGTGTTCAGTGTACATATATATCTCCTCTGTGGAAATCCAGTACGTGCAAGCAATGGGCTTTGCCCTGTTGTCTCAAGAAGGGACCTCTGATGTGAAGTCTTATTTTTTATCTCACCCAGGATATCTCTAAAATAGCCTATAATCCCATGCAGAACTGCATTCACTTACTGTGAATTCACTTACTGCATTCACTTACTGTGTCGCTAATCAAGCTGCCCAGCAGCAACAAACTATTTCATTTTTTTGCGAAGTAAGGAATGGTGTTAATTTTTCATATAGAATGACTTGGTGTGTGTGCTTTAGCTCAGATACAGGATATTGACAGAAGTGTATGGACTGTGCAGAAATTAAGAAGTTTGAAATTAAAAAGATTCTGTAAAGGAAAGACTGGTTGCAATGAAATGAGGGTATCAGTGGAGGGGAATACATGGACTCACCATCGGTTTTCACACTCCAGGTCATCTGGAAGCCGTCGGTCATCAGATAGAAGTTCTTTAAATCCTCTGGCAATAAGCAGGAGTTTTTCTGCAAATCACAGTCAAAGTGTTATGAGAAAATGCAGAATGTGCCTCAAAGCCAAAGAACAAGTAAATACTGGTACAGGAATATTTGCCACCAAATGTTTTGCTCCACTCCAAGATGACTCAAATCAGCTCAAACATCTCATCCTAAAACCTTGAGAGAAAACTGCATGCTTGTTGAGTCTGTGCTACTCCATTAAAAAAGATGACTTGGAAAAATTTAATAGTGAGCAGTCAGCCATCACAAGAAGATTACATGATCATTCCTCAAGTGAGATGATGTATCATTCTTTGACACTAATAGCCAGTCCAAGATCACATATATAAAAATAATTGGCTTTTTCACATATATGGCTTTCAAGAGCAGAATTTTTCTTTAAGTGAAATCAGACTAAACCTACCTGTTCCACTAAAGCATAATATTAGCATGAGGACTCTCGTCTTCTGAGGGATTCCAAGTAGGTGAGAGATGCATAGACTCAATAGCTGCACATAATAAAGCGGTATGTGTGAAAATACACACAGAGTCAGTTTCACAGACCTGCTGGTCTAGCCTCACCCCACCAAGCTTCAGTGCTTGCCTGGGGCTCCTTTGTCTGCTTCCTTCTGAGCCAACAGTGAAAGAGGGAACTCCAGTGAGCTGGTGAGAGTGCTTCTAAGAATCAGGACCCTTCTCCTATACCTACCTACCCTGGTTGTGGAAGGAGCTTTTCGTTAATGTAGAGTCTTCAGCTAAGCAACAAATATGAGGAAGGAAACCTCAGAACAAGAAGCTCGAAGAGCTATAGGCAACTGCAGCAGAGCTCCTGATGACAGGACTGGCTGCAGACCAGTGACTCTGTTCCCGCTTATGTGTCAAGAACACAAACTGAAACAGTACAGAAGTCTGTAAGTTTTAACAAGACAAGCAACATCGTTTATAATTGTTTAGAGAAAAAACAGATTGAGAAAGATTGAAGTGGGTTCACATTTAAATTATTGTCAAACTCAAGACTCAAAACAAGTCAGACCTCAAAACTCAGGATAGTTTCCAATGATAGAGGTTCCACAGTGTCTGTGCTGGCTTGTGCAAGGGCTGCACCACTCTCCTTGTGAGAACAGTTTTCCTAACTGCAGTTTGAACCTCCAAACTGCAACTTGTGGTCATTCTCCCTTTTGAGTCCCACGTACTTTAAACATGCTCAGGAAAAAAGACACAAATAAACCACCTGACGGTCAAGATTCCTCACTAAACCAGGAGGACAGAAAACTTTAAAATGTTGATCCGAGACCTGTTTATAATCACAGGACTCTGGAAGCTACATTTTACATGGAAAATGGACCAGTAATGTGAGATTTGCAACACAGCACATCTGATAATTCAAATACTTTTGAACCGGACTTTCAGCCTTTTCTAAAAAAGGTGCATTTCACTGAGCCAGTTTTAAAGACATGTTGGACATGACTTGCTCTTTGTGTAGTGAGTTTGACACTCAAAGGAAGAAAAGACAGAAATTACAAACTTTGAGAAGATTTATAGGTCAGTAGTGCTGTCCCTCATATAGGCTTACCCTGTCACAGATCAAGATCTTATCCAGGTAGGTATTCACAACCTGGCCTCAAAGGCCTGGGTAGGTTTTGGAGCAGTTACAGAATTGCTTTGGAGAAAGCAGAAAAGTCAGATGTTAATAGCTTTCCAATACTGTGCCCTCTGCTGAGACTACCTCCCTAGCTACTTGAAAATGTAATATTCAAAGTCTTGTAAAATAAAGGAAGAATATTCTGGTGACCAGTAGCTAAGAAAGAGAAATAAGTGCACACAATTCATGTAGCTCTGTTTCACTTGGGCCATCAATTTGTAACACGTCAAGAGATGACGCTAACGCTCTTATCCGTGTCCAGAACTTGTGCATACCCAGGTATCTGCTCTGATACCTGCTCAATGCATCTACCCAGCAGGAGCTACCTGCCAGCTGTGCATCCAGCTGCAATGCTGGCCGCTGGTGATCAGTGACTGGCATGAGCATGGGAAGGCACTGGCCTCCTTCTGTCCATATCCCCTCCCTCCCCTAGGACCAGGGCAGTCCTTCAGCCTGTTAAAGCCTTACTCACAGTCACCTTCTCTGAGTTGTTACAGTCCCTGTCCCCTAAACTGTTGTGTATATGCTATGAAAGACCCTCTAACCCACCTACAACCTAGACTCCTGTGTGTTAACCTACTTACTAAGCATATCCATTCATGCCAACAGACTGCTACTGACAAGTTCCAGGTACTAAAAGCTTTGTAGCTTGCAACAGGGCAGATCACTTCACTCGTCCTGGCAGTAGACTGGTTGTTAGCACAGTGCTTTCCTAATCCATGGGAAATCTTCAGAGGCAACAGATATTAAAGCAAAGAATCTGATGCTGTAGGAACTTTGTTTTGAGAAGAATTTACAGTCCTTTGATAAGAGCTTGCTGATATCTGAGGCCCTGCTGGTAACTTTCAGGAGATTACTAAACTACATGGACATATCTGAAGTTATCCAAACGCTTTTAACAGACATATCTTCTTCTGTGGGTTGTTCTCAGTCCTAAATATTTTAAATTTCATGCTGCACTTTCACCACTTCCAATTTCAAGGTGTAGCTGCAAGCAGAATGACTAGGTCTAAAACTATGAGGAAAGCAAACATGACAGATCTGCTGCAAAGCCTCAGGAGAGTATAACTGTTTACACAGCACTTTCAGCCTATGTCAAACCCTTTAATTTTAACTAATCTATCCCAGCAGTAAAAATACATATGCAAACAGCTCTCCTGACTTCAGAGGGTGTTCTCCTCTGAGTAGGAAAATCAGATTCATTGGGATGACAAAAGCTAAGATTTTAAAACTTGCACCACAGTATCCAGTTAAATATTACTATAAACCAGGCACAGCCCAATTCAACGCACAGCTGATTAAAATAAGGCAACAAAAGAGATAACAACATCTGGATAGGCCTTCTGCACTGAATCCTCCTTTTCTGGATGGAAATATTGTGCATGTTTTGTGCATGTTTCTCCCCACTTGATTTTATGATCCTCTTAACCAGGCCTCTTTGCACAATATTCCAAATGAGTGCAGAATACATGGGTGGAAAATGCCATATGAGAGCAGATATATAAAGAAAGTTACTCCAATACCAGTCTCTCCCATCTAACAGAGAGGACTGATTGATCTGTCATATTATGTTCTGCCACACAGTCCCATGATGTTAAAGGAGTGGTCTTCTGACAGCAAAGTCAGAAAAAAAAGCCGCCATTATATATTAAAAATGGCTTCTCAAACTCTGTACTCCTGCTCAACTGGTAGTTTGCAGGGTTGTGACCTCCAGCCCCATAAAACACAATATTCCTAATAATGTGCCAGAAGTGGCTTAACCATAGCCCTGGCAAGCAGCTGTTTTCACTCAAGTCATCTGGTTACACTCATCAGCTCATAAAATAAAATATCCCCAGTGCACAATATGGTGTGTGAGGTCTATTTCTTTTGTTTATTGTCTGTAATACTCCCGAATAGTCTCCCAAGAAAGCAGTCCATTGAGGATACAGAAGAATGTAAGAACCAGGGTAGTTTTGCTGCCAAGGCCTGATCCACACTGATACATGGCAATTCACTTAAAGCACTGTTAAAACAGTGCCTCCCAAACAAATATCCTAAAGAAATGAACAGCAATCAAAACATACAGCTCGAGAGATTTCTCTAAAAAACAGTTTTACACAACATTTTGGAAGAGAAGGAAGGGATTTCTGCTCCTTCTCAGGACTTAGAAGTAGCAGAGCAAATCAGCAGCCACCCTTCTCTCTCCCTAACATCATGCTGCTTCATGACTGGTCTACCCTAGATGCCAGTGAACGCAGACGTTATTTTATGCAATCTGTTGCAGCTTTTATAAATGCGATCTGGGGAGGGCTCCCGGGAGATGACCTTACTTGGATTTTGTTCCCTGAGAGGCACAGGACTGGGGCAGACCTGATCCTCCACCACAGGAAACAGGATCTGGCCATTTTCTTGAGGATGCTCTTGTGTTGCCAGTTTTTTAAACAGAGTATTTTAAGACCTCACAGGAGGAGGACACTGCGTTGAAAACACTATCTACCTCCCAGAAGTCCTCCAGCCTCTCACCTGCTAGGCAGCTGGAAGAAATACACCTTTCCTCATGCTGGATTCACTTTGTCACCTCTCCCATGGTCAAGGCCACAAGGCAGGTTCAAGACGGGCTCATCTTGTGCTCCTGGGGATGAGAAATGGCAGCCTGGCCTAATGCTGAGTGAGGACATTACAAGGAGGATGGTAAGAAGGATCCCTGTGGACACACACACCTGTATACATACTTCTGAGTCAAAAAGAGATGTGGTAGAAGCAACAGCCAGGAACCACCACCACAGATCCCAATGAGAGGACACCCAAAGAGAGCTTCTAAACTGCTTGGCAGCCCAGGACAGCCCAGCCAGGTGCAGTTCAGACACCACTAGGAAGCCAGTTAGAGGAACAGGCAGAATAACCCCTTTCATTTTGCTTGGCCCACTATGGTGCTGAGCTCTGGGACATTCAGCTTCCCCTAACAGACTGCAATTTTATATTTTTTGAAAATCAAAACAATTATGTAAATGACTCAATTCTCTTCTGGTTGAGGCAAAAAGAAACTGTGGTTCAGATATCGTCATGGCAGATTCCAGTGCCTCCTAGCCATACTTTAGTATAATACCTGCTTTTAAAAACTGCCAATGGAAGGGAAAAAGGCAGTTGCCAGCGTTATTTTAGAGTGGTAACGGGTTCATAGGATGATATACAATTATTACCACTGGTGTTCCAGTGAACTGATAACTGTTTTAACTTCTCTGTTGCTTGGGGAACTTTCTGGGGAAAAGATAACAGCTTGGTAAGTTTCAGTATCAGGAAAGGTAAAAAAATGATCTGTTTTTATTAAAATATTTTTAACTGCTTGAAAGTTTTGGGGAAACAATTCTGCCCATGTAAACACTTGACAAGCATATACCTTAAATATTTTTGTGAGAGTGCGAATTTCCAAAGAAATATTCAGGATTTATTTCAGATTTGATTTCCTAATCAAAGTATAAGAATAAACAGTTCTTTCTGCTTCTACAGAAAGACTTGGCAAAAATCTTTCCTGCTCTCCTACTGTCTTACTGCACTGGCTTCTGTTGTGATGCTCTTCTTCCCCTTCAAAGACTCATGGCAGCTAATGGACGTTCAACACACTGATCTAAGATTTTAAAACTTCCCTCACAGTATCTACTTAAATACTAGCACAAACTGGGCACAGCCTAATTTAACAAATACAGATGAAGGAGACAAAACCAATGCACATTGTAAGCATTATTAGAATATAATTTTAATAATTTACAATTAAAAAACCTTGATTTTCTTATAAGAGTTTCTGACTACCATAGACTTCCTCTCAGCAGAAATATCTTTCCATTGCAAAACTGAAGTAGGTCTGGAAAATTTGCTTCCAGAAACACATGTAAAAAACCCATAAAAATCTTCAGAATAGAGCTTTTATTCAGTGAGTCTCAACAAAAAGAGAGGGTTCTTTCTGGAAAAAGAATATAATTTTGGAAATAGTTTTATCAGTTTTCCCTAGATTACACAAAGAGCCCTGAAATTATATTAATAATCAAAAATAGAGGAGAGTTACAAATACAGAATGTGATAACATCAGGTTAAAATCTCAACTAGAAGAAATTATTATGTGCATATGTATTGCCACCTAGTGGCAATGAGAAAAAAAAAGTTATAAAAGTGAACATTGGGTACACATAAAAGCTTGTGTTCAAACTCAAGGAGGATGAGTTTAAGGAAAAGTGAGGTACAGGTTCATCCTGGAAGGGTCCTGTAAGGTGTTGAGTGCTTTGAGCTTAATCACCAATGCAGGACATACTGCAATTATCTAGACTGTATGAGATACCGGACCTCATCCTCAAAGCTCAAGAAAAATCTCATGATGAGATATTTCAGATTTTGTCAATGTAGTTAGATCAAAGAAATAGGTAGCAAAGTTCTTCACCGTTAGCAGTCCAGCTCAACGTACCTAATTTTAACCATTTACTTTCACAACTAACAATCAATCAGGGCAGCGAAGGGGAGCTGAAGTTCTGTTTTGACGTCTTTGGAGCAAAGTGCTTGGGCCTACAGCAGTTCAAAGTTTGGCTTTACAAGAATAGCTCAATTTTTAAACAACCCAAATTTAGTCTGGAGGAGTAGCACTACCTGAAAGTGAGAGCAACACTGTACTCAGAAGCACTCCTGTCCACTCAATAGAAGAATGAGCAAATGTCACTCTGCGGCTCCCAGATCGAAGCTGGCTCACAGTCAGGGTGCTTCAGACTTTCCAGCCCAGTTAATCTGACACCTGAACAAGAGCTACAGGGAATCAATTCACACAAACCTGAAAAACCAGACATTTCTGCCTGACCACAGTTGCTGGCTACCGTACAAGTTTTCAGCAAATAACACAGGTTTACATTACATACATTCTGACCTGGGTTTATAAATACTTGACACATATGACTAACTGGGACAGGGCACTACCAACAGTAGTGCAAGATTTTTCCCTGCTGCTTAAGAAAAACTGTAAATGGCAAGGTGTCATCAAGGGGAAGTTATTTTATGTAGTGGTAACGAGTGCAGTCTCTAGAAGCATGTGCATTGGGGCATAGCCAGGGTTGAAGCAGAGAAAGGATGATTCAGTCAACTCCATCCTCTGCTGTGCGCCTTTCCGAAGGCCAGTCAGCTTCTACTGTCCCTACTCTATGTATTAGTGATATAAAGCAGTTATTCCTCCATGGCCATGGGATTGATAAACACATGAATACTCAAAAAGGGGACCAAAAGTGTCATCTCTGTCCATTGGAGTCACATGACAATATTCATGAGCCCTCTGGTCATGGAGTTTGATGGATTTTCATCAGCTAACATCATAAAGGTAGCACGTGTCCTTCATAGTCTTCTAGAACAGGCAATGGGACAGGCCTTGGCCAAAAGATTGGGTCAGTTAGAGAAGGTGGAAGGAGGTGCTACAAGAAATGCAAGTGAATAGCTGAGACTGAAAAGAGAGATAACTGGAACAAACCGAGCGTTTCAGTGGTATTTTCCAACTTGAGGCCTTTACCTATAGTGGCCATGAATAATAAAGAGCTTTTTAATTTTGTTTGAAAGGGAGTTGGAAAATGACTTCAGATCTGAGTCAGAATCATCTTTGTTCTCCACTATGTCACCATTGTTGCTGCCTACTACAGTCATGTAATTTGTTCTTAGAGTTGTCACTGAGTATATCCACGTTGACCAAGTTTCTTTAACAGATTAGGTGCATATAAGATCGAGTGATACTCAATTAAAAAGAATAAATCAAAACACCAAACGTTTAGGCTTCACTGTGCATCAAACTTGGTAACAGGCTGTCTTACAAACAAACACAAGGTAGCTGTAGAATTTGACACTCTCCATGGGCTGCTGTACATTCATAGAATCATAGAATTGTTTTGGCTAGAAAAGACCTTTAAGGTTATTGAGTCCAACCGTTATCTAACTCTGCCAGGCCCACTTCTAACCCATGTCACTAAGTACTATATCAAGATGCCTTTTAAACACATCCAGGGATGGTGATTCAACTTCCCTCCGCAGCCTGTTGCAGTCTTTGATAACCCTCTGAGCGGAGAAGTTCTTCCTAATGTCTAACTTAAACCTTCCCTGGTGTAACTTGAGGCTGCTTCTTCTTGTACTATTGGTTGTAAGCTGTGAGAAGACACCAACATCCACCTCTCTACAACCTCCTTTCAGGTAGTTATAGAAAGTGACACAGTCTCCCTTTATTTAGACTGACCTCACCGCAGCAGTATAACAAAAATACTCACTTGCTCCCATGAAATGATTGTGTGGCGTTCAGCTGGTTCCTTTTCCACAAATGTCACCTCAGCAACTCCTGGAGAAGTCTCTAAATGGAAAAGAGAAGCACGTTTGCAACTGGCACGAGTGACATCAACACCGCGAACCAGACAGTTTTGCAAGTTAACCTGACTGACAGCTGGGGAAAAGGCATTAATGACTGCAAGCATTGTGCTGGTGACTGAGCAGTCATTTTCTTTCCTGTCTAACTCTACTCAGCACGTCTTGGCATGAGAATGCCCAGTGCTGCACAAGATGCCATCCTTTGATGCTTTTTAGAGGTACATGTATACATGCATACACACACACACACACACACGCATTTTGTATTCAAGGCGTGATCTTTTCCAGACCATTCATGGGAAAATCAACCGTAGGTTGCTGAGCAAACCCTAAAAGAGAGACAAATCTTTCTTTGTAAGCAAGCCCTGTGGTTTCAGTTGGGTAGGATATTCTCATCTTGACACAATATGTTGCGCAGTGTTGCTGTGAATTGCTAACAACCATTTTCCACAAAGAGGGGGACACTTCACTGCTGGATTCAGTGGATTTGAAGAAACACAGAATCTGATCCTGCCGAGGGGATCTGCATAACCAAACACCAGTTCTCTGGAATCCCAGCTCGATGCACGCAAATCCACTATATGCATCAAGCTTGTAATTTATAAAAAATCGGCTAAATATTTTATGGGAAAAAAATGCTATATAAATGCAAGATACAGATCTACATAGTGCTATCCTTGCAGGTATGTGACAGCAGAACAGTCTCCTTTGCACTCATTATTTTGTAATGTTTTACTTCATCTACAGCCAACTGAAATAGTTCCCACTGACTTCATTCACTTTGGGTTAGGTCCAGAAAGACTACTAACTTGTTTGTGGGAACTGCAAGACCAGCACACAGACCATGGAATAGAAGCCCAGACCAGCTTTGCTGTCAAAGTATTGGCTCCCAAAGCAGTCACACATATTAGAATCACTTTCCGTTAAAACACACACAGTGCAGTACACAGGAAAGGCAAGCACCAGAGAGGTTTGATTTGTTTTTTATCTCCGGCTCTGGGCTTTTAATTCTAGCAGTTACACTGTCCTTGCCTGTTCTGTCGGTGGAAAAGCAGCACTGAGTTTCACAAAGTTTAAAACTTCACTTTAATTGCAAGTATTGCTAGGACATTGTCAGGTAATTTAAAGAGAAAACATAGCCCCAGAAAAACAAACTCCAGGTTAAAGACAGAAAAAAAAAATAGATCACTGTAGGTCGTCTATGTAATTTGTCTGGCCAAGGCGGGGCCTCAACATACAGAAGACTTTGGTGTTTCACCAAGTTTCACTTCTGATAGATGGATGCAAGTCAGAAGGGATTTGTGCCTTGCTCAAATCAAAGCTTTCCATATGTATTCTGCTCCTAAAGAAGCGTGCAGAATCGGTGATCTAACTGGTCTTTTCCATCTAAAGTTATGCAGACTTTATGACAATTTAAGAGATTATAATAACAGAGTAATTGTTATTTCTGTGATCAAAGAAAACAGCAAGGATATTTAATTCATCAGGCACAACAGCTTGGCTCGGATGACAAAAGATTAAATACCTATCAGTCAAAGAAGATGTCTAGGAACTAGAGAACTGCAACTTCTAAAGAGGTCTGAACCAAATCCAAGATCAAAAGAAACAGAAATTCTGTCAAAAAAGCCTGAATGTTATATTAAAAATATCTTGTGGGTAAACTGGAGACCACATTTAACAGATGTGTGTAGCTATGGACAGGAGCACCATTAAACACAAATGAGGAAAATAAGTCTGTATGGGTTGTTTTTCTTCCACATGGAAGAAATAAAGAAGCCACCTAAGTTAGATAGAAGATACAGGACAAAGCTTAAGTAGTTCAGGTGCGTCCTCCTTATTAACTATTCTGAACTAAAATCATGCTAAACTCTGTCCTATTTTTAGGACACTTCATCTGGAAGCTTCAAAAAATGCTTTGCAGTACTAATCAGAAAGAGCTGATGTAATGGTGTGACACAAAGCTGAAGCAGGAAGTCACAGCATTATCAGCCCTTATGGTACTGCTAATACTGCCAATATGTTGGATAAACTCTCAGCATCTTTTTAAAATGTTTGCATAGTTACATTCTTTTTGAATAAAGACTATAAATAGTGGGCAGCCCAGAAGAGCTAATACCCTCAATTCAGATTTACTTCTGAGCAATCAACCCTTCTATAATTTGCTATTAGACATAGAACTTCACCAGATGAATCATACATATAATGAGAAAGATGTCACTCTTTTTTCCTCAAATTATAATCTCTGTAATGCTTCTGAGCAATCTCCCACCCTGTAAGGGACTTCCACAAAGACCACAAGCTAAAAAAATCTAAAACCAAACCTCTTCCTCTCCAACCTCATACACAGAATTTGTTTAAAGGAGGGTATTTAAAATGGTGCCATCAAGATTTGTTCATAAAGGTATTGGAAAACTGGGCCTCAAGCTCCCATATACTTACGTGCAAAACTTTTTGGCTTAAAATGAATATGTTGAGTTTCATTACATGATCATTTCTATGTCCTGGAAAAAGTATCTTACAAACTCAACAGAGTCAAAAGCCAATTATTACTGCTTTTAGGTTCCGGTAGGCAGAAATGTATCTACTAGGCTTCATGAGGCTTCCCAAAAGAAGATCTAAAAGAAGAGATAGTTTCTAGTGCTGCAAACTACTAAGCCATCTTTCTGAATAAGATACCCCTTGTTATTGGAAAGAACCATAGAATCATACAATGGTTTGAGCTGGAAGAGACCTCAAAGATCATCTAGTTCAATCCCCCTGCCATGGCAGGGACATCTCCCACTAGATCAGGTTGCTCAAGGCTCCATCCAGCCTGGCCTTGCAATCTTCCAGAGATGGAGCATCCACAGCTTCCCTGGGCAACCTGTGCCAGTGCCTCACCACCCTCAGCATAAAGAACTTCCTCCTTACACCTAGTCTAAACCTACACTCTTC